CTTTCACAGAAAATCAAGGAGCTGAAGCGGAAGGCCACCGTGATGTTCCGATTTGGAGGTCCGCCATATGCGGCAGTGGAGGAATATGGGGGACTGAACGTGCTCGGTGGACAAGGAAACACGGAAGCAACACCGTCAAGGACCGCCCAGGACGGAGGCAAAAAGAAGAGACCGGCGGCAGAGTAGGGCGGTGGGTGGCCGTCTGCAGAAAAGAAAACAAATCTTTGGGTGTTGTGTTTTGTTGTTTTGTTTTTTTTTTTTTGTTTTTTTTTTTTTTTTTTTTTTTTTTTTTTTTTTTTTTTTTTTTGTTTTTTTGTTTTTTTTTTTTGTGTAAAATTGTGATCGGGGTTGATCCCTGAGATGAATAAAATATGGTTTGGTGTGCAAAACGATATGGTATGAATGGAATTGGAAAAAGATTAAAAATAATGTGAAAGAAAAATAAAGAAAGAAATAATAAAAATATATTTGAAATCAAAAAATGAAAGATGGGGGATAGGAGTGGTTTGGCGAAAATAAATAAAAATAATGGAGTTTGAAAGCAAACGGAGGAGAGATGATGTTTTTTGTTTTTGTTTTTGTTTTGTTTTGTTTTTTTTTTTTTTAATATAATATAATAAAAAGAGATATATATATATATAAAAGAAAGAAAGTGGGGAACAAGGAGTGCACCAATTAAGCTGTATAATAAAAAAAGTTTGGGCGGTGGATGCAAAGTGAGGAGAGAGAGTGAGCAGATATAGAAAAGAAAAAATAAAGAAATAAAAGAAGAAAAGAAAAATGGGTGGAAAATATGTGAAAAGGGAAAAGTATATATATAATAAGAATAGGGAATTGGGTGGCCCGAGGAGGTTCAATGCATTTGCTGATTGATTTATTTATTTTATTTGTTTGTGGTAGAGTGGATCACATGGGGTGAGCAGTGATAAGAAAAACAATGTGGTTATCACCGAGGGAGTGAGAGGGGCCGCGGAGGGAGAGAAGAATCTGAGAGAGATTTCTAGCTGTTTCCAGCCGAGCAAGACACGAAGATCCCCATTTCCGTTGCCGACGATTCCACCGTGAGTTGGTTCGAAGAGCGACGCGACGAGGAGGAACAGGAGCAGAAGAGTGACGAAGAATGAGACTGAAACTGATCATCCAACGGTTTAGAGCCCGCCATCCAATCTGTAGTCATGTATCCATTTATGTTTGCTGTTCCAGCACCTGGGAGATAAGAACCCAATTGATTCCGAGTGCGATGAACATCATTGGGATTGATGCTGTCACCAGTGAGAACACTCTTCCCTTTGTCCAGTCCTCCAATTCCGAGTGCCATCTTTCCTCGGCAATCGCTACTGTCAATATTTATACTGGCGTGGCTGCCCAGTGGGTTGTTGGCATCCTCAGTTGCACCGTTGATACAATTAGGTTGTTGTTGAGTAGCTGACGAAGAGAGAGAGTCTTGATAGAGCAGTTGCCATGGTGTAATAATATGCTGCGGAATGTGTGTTTTGATCCATCATTGTTGCAGACATGGTGTTCGACGAAATGTCCCAGAGGGATTTTGGGTTTGCTTCGGCGAGGTGGTGAAGAAGAGTGAAGGTATGTGTAGAGAATTTTAGCGGACTAGGTTGAGGTCCGGCGGGCGGCCAATGCGAGGTTGCCGCCCGCCGGTGAAGCGAAAAATACTAAGTTCTTAACTTCGCTCTGATACCATGTAAAAATAAATTGATGTATATTATTGATTGATGTGTATGTTTATTGATATCATTACAATGATTCATGATTCCTATATATAGAAGAGGGTGGGTGTGTAGTAGGTGAGGAGTAGGTGAGGAGTAGGTGGAGTAGGTGAGTGTGTAGTAGGTGGTAGTGGTAGGTGTGTAGTAGGTGAATTTTAACAACATGCTTCATAGGTTGTATTCATGTCTTTGTAGTCGGCGTATCCTTCGAGTAGAGATTTGAAGTGCCTGACCCCTAGATACACCCCCACACGACACTCATACCTGGGTACAATCCATCTTTTTGCTTTTTATGTGCCCCACAAATAAGCAATAGGCAGTAGATCAATCTTTCATGGGGAGCTAATAATCAATCTTATAATATACATGTGGCGCAAATCTATATAGTTAACCCCTCCTTTGTATCCTAACCTTGCTTGTCATGCATTGCCTGAAGCATTTTTTAGATTCCTCTGAATTCTAAGTATATAATTAATTTGTTTAAATTTACAACATCTGAGAACTTACAAAGGGAGTTAAGTGTTCTTCAATTCCAATACTGGATTTTCTATACGTGCACGTGTGTGCATGTCCATGTCATGAAGATTTATTTACAGTGCTATAGCCTAATACAAACAATGTGCTATAAACTTCCAGTCATGCTATAGCCAATAAGCTATGTACATTACCTAGTCGTGACTCATGAGTTCTAGTATGTGTTCATAGAGACAGCAATATTTATTTAACATTTGAATAAAAATCTATTACTCTGAACAAGTTGCAGTTCTATGTCCAATAACAAAGGGAGCAAATCATATATAACTCAATCTGAAAATGTAAAACAAATATCAAGTGAAAATTACAAATATTATGAGCATTAACAAATGTATAGCTTAAAATGTATCTGGTAAACAACTCCTAAAATCAGTAAAGCATGCTTGTTAATAACAGTATATAAGTTGTAACGTAATATTATGCAATTCTATTTCTTCCTTTGTCAAGCTACTGAGAATATAGGTGAATAAAGTAGGAAAAAAAGTTGGACTTGTCAAGAACCTCAAGCATTGTGCACAAGTAATGTAGACGAAGATCAACCGGCACCATAAAATGCAAAGAAGCAACAATGTCCTCGGTGAAAGAGGTGCTACAATCATTGTCATTATATATGTATTTGTGATAAACTTTCTCGAAGCTGATAGTATTATCATCATTTCTGTTGGTTAAATTCTGTGAGCATAATTCTCTGAGTATATCAAGAAGAACTTGGCCGTTTTCCAAAAGACGATACTGATCAGCTACTAGCAAGTTCAACAACACCATACAACACCTTAACTGAAGATTTAATTGTTCAGCAGTGGCCCTGATATCCAACTGCATCCTAGCTTGTCCTGGAGACTGACTTGCAGAGTCATCAGGTAAAACAGAGAGAAACTGCCTAAACATCTTAGAAAGCTCTTTGAATGATATATCAGAGAGACTACATATATCTTCAAATGACACCTTGATCCCGTACTGACCAATTCCGTTGTTGCAAAAAGTTGAATCAGTTCCAGCTCTTGGATAACACGTTGGAGGATTAGAAGACAAATGGATAAGCAGATAATACAAGCTTTTTAGTAGTGGTGGTTTCAGACCCTGCTATTAGAACAATCAAGTTTTGAATCAAATGAAAGAAGATGTTATTTTGCATATACTATAAAATAAAAAATCAAAGCACAAAATTTCATAAAGTAAATTTGGCACAGTAAATCTGAAAATCTGACTTTGTATTCTTCTTCCCATGAATTCTTCAACAAATAATAGATGAAGCATAGAATAGAAAGAAGATGAGTATGTTTTTCCAATGCAATTTGTCAAACAATCATATGTTTCCCATACCAAATCAGATCATCATAAACAAGGTCCACATGATGAAATTGATCATGAAGTGTGTGTTCATGTATGTTGTTATGAAAAAATGACAAAATGGAAAAAGATTGGGCTGTTTACAATTTGTTGCCAAGAATGTAAATCAGGAAGGAAAAACATTAAAAAAACAGTGAGAAAATGGCAGACTCTGTAATTTTGATACTTCTTATATAAGTTTTCAAACAGAAAGTAAAGAGATTTCCAGTATTTAAGCTTCTAGAGTGTCTTATGAATAACACAGTTTGATATACAATTTTCCAAACATGTTAGCATCATTGCATTTCAATTCCCAAAATGGATACTATTTTTCAAAATATAACTAATATGTTATCAATATCTGAAATTTCACCTTCGCTTATTCCAAAGCATTTCAGAAATTCTCAGTCCTTCAGCAAATGCATTACATGAGACATAATTAAACTTCTCCAAATATGTTTCCCCATTTTTTTTAAAGGCAAATGCTAAAAAGAATGCTCCTGGGGCATTGTTTAATGAACAATGCTACATCTACTTAAATTCTTACTAACATTCTTACTAAAAACATAGCTAGTGTTTGGTAGAGTTTTCTAAATATGATTTGAGAATAGAATTGTATTTTGAGTTTGTGAGTTTTGGAATTATGATTTGAGTGTGGAAAATTTGTTTAGTGAAAGAATTTTGAATTGAGTGGAACAATTTTAATGTGACATATGATATTTGATACAAAAACTTACAACTCATAACCAAACACACAACTCAAAATTCTATTCAAAGCTCATAAAAGATTTTAAAAAATTCTGAATTTTTTTTATTTAAAATATAAAAAATAACAGGTGCCAATTGTTTATAAAAAAAAAAATAGCACTGTTCCAGTCAACCGGCCAAACGTCCGGGAGGACGACCGGTTAGCCCAAATTTTCCTACCTTGCAAAGAGTTTTCAAAAGTGAGTGTGGAATTAATTTTTAAAAACTCTAAACAAATAAAACACTCAAAACAAGGGGTAGATATATGTTTGGAGAATAGAACCAAACACAGCCATACATGTCCCAATATCATTGGTTGTTTAAATATTGTTACTTTTTGTAAAATATATTGATGGATATTATTGATTGATGTTTTTTCCAATTACAAGGATTACTATTATATAGGAGTGTGTTTGGGAGTAGGTGGAGAGTAGGTGAAGTGGAGGTGGTAGTGGTGTAGTGGGTTAGGTTTAGTGGAGTAGGTGAGGTGGTAGTGGTGGTAGGTTTAAGGTAAATTCTAACACTTTTTTGATAACCAATCACATTTGGCTTCTTGTATTTTTAATAAAAATTTCAGTACGATTGTTAGTATAAATAGAATTATTCTTGTTTAATATTGGGATTAAGGTAAAAAGCACCTTGAAAATATGTGAAAATATTAAAAATATATATATTGATTTCAATAAATAAATAATGCATCGAATTTATGGTTGTTTTGGGAACTATGCTTTTTGGCAGTTGACGACAGGGAAATTCTATTTACACACCACACACTCTCTCAGTACACACCACTTAATCATTGCACATCACATCTAATTTTAATTTTCTATTTTTCACTCAATACACACCATCAATTTTTCAATATTCCCAAAATATCCTCATCTTCTCCAATCACAACCCTAACCCTAACCCTAACCCTAACCCTAACCCCACCCCGCCGCTGCCATCAGCCGTTACCATTAGCCCTCCTACCTCCTGCGGCCGCCGCCGCCCTCCGACTGACACCATCCCTGGCCTCACCCTGACACACTCTCTTCTTCTTCTTCTTCCTCTTCTTCTTCTTTATGTGGATTTATCAACCAAACACAAAAATAGTATTTCATAGTGGATGAGAAAAGTGAGAGGTTCGATATTAGAAAGTTGTAGAACCACTGTTATATAGTAAACTGATGATGTACAAATGTGATTTGGCCGATGAATAACTAAGCAGAAATTGTAAGAAAGAAGAAACTTAAACCCATAATTTATCGAGAATCCTGATAAATGATCTAGATTCAATTCTCAAATGTTGGGTCTTACTTCTAAAATAAATCTCAACCACACATTATTTTCTAAACAAATTTCTAGTAAAAATTTTGAGTTTGAAGTTCTCGTAACAAAGAAAAATGTGTGTTATCAAAAAGTGGTAGGATTCTCTCTTGTACAATAAACATAAGTAAAAGTTGTATATGTAAAAGAAAAATGTGTGTTATCAAAAAGTGGTAGGATTCTCTCTTGTACAATAAACATAAGTAAAAGTTGTATATGTAAAAAACAATGAAAAACTTACACATGATATAGAAGATAAAGTGTCTCTCAATGAATATATGAGTCTATTCAATTTAATTGTATAATGACTTGTAGGAGCATGATCATTCAGTCTATATAAAAAATACTAATTTTTAACTTTTAAAATTATGGCTGAGTTTAAATTTGAGAGAACTTGACAGTCTCGTGGGCTCGTCAAAAGTTTTGTTTCGATGATTCAAACCGTTCATTTTGTAAAGCCCTCGGTATATATCATTTATAGAAAAAATTAAATTGATCTGATAAGCATAACATTTTTATTTTATCATATATCTCTGAAAAAATAGACAGCAAACATATTTTTAAAAATAAACTATTTTTTTTTACACAATCAAGATAAAATTTACATGGAAGGTCGTACAAAATGAACAATTCGAATCATTAAAACATAACTTGTGGTGAGTCACGAGCCCGCCAAATTCTATCAAGTTTATATTTGAATTTTTGAAAAACTCAACCATAAAATTATGTATTGTTATATGAAAAATTCTAGAGATCCACAATTTTATATCTACAAATTCAATTAAAATAATGTAGCAAGACAATTGGACACTATCTACTACTATAATTAAGTGTGTGACAAATTAAAAATTAATATATATTAACATCAATTATGCCACATCATTGTGGATTAAATTAGATTTTTTTTTTAAAGAGTTTCAAGTATTATTATTATTATTATTATTATATGAAGTTCTCTAACAGATGAAAATCGTAAAGCGATCATTCACAAAAATTTAGAAGTCTTAGGCCTCGTTTGGGAAGCGACCGGTTTAGCCAAAAAGTCAAAAAGTTACTAAAAAGCCAAAAAGCCAACAACTCATACCAAAAAGTCAAAGATTCTCTTTTCTCTCTACTTTTTGCACATCTTTTCATAAAAGTCAAAAAGTCCTCCCAAACATGCTAGTTTTTTTTAGCTCATATTTTAACCAAATAGCCAAAAAGTTACTAAATTAGCATGTTCCCAAACGAGGCCTTAGTGTCTAGTGCTACATGGTGCATGTGACTATTGCTATATGGTGCCTTTTCAGGGGCAACGGGTTGACAAAGGTATTTTGGGAATATGAAAAAGTAGAAAACAAGTGAGCGGTGTTTTGAAAATATGAAAAAATAGAAGAGGGTTTCTATGTACACCTACCTTAATTCTTTGAAACCCCCTCTCTTTCATTTTTCTTAATTCCAATTTTATCCGAAGATAAAATTCCATTTCTACCCTCATCTCTAACCCTCTAACCCTAATTTCCCAAACCCTAACCTTAATTCCATCACCTCCGGCAGCCACCATGTACACTCTTCACGCCTATTGTTAGTCGTCCAACCACCGCCATCATCACAGCACAGCCGTCACTCCCAACCACCGCTATCATCGCAACACTCTCTCTTCCTCCTCATTCTTTCCACCACGACGCCGCTGCCATCACCGCCCACCACCACCATCGGCCACACCTCCTCCTTTTTCTTCTTCCTCTTCTCCCGAAACCCTAACCCTAATTCCATTACCACCCACCACCACCGTCGACCACACCTTCCTCCACCCTCGCCACTAGCCGTGTCTACACTTTGTGAAACCCTAGCCGCCAAACCCTTGGGGGGGGGAAGAGAGAGAGAGAGAAAGAGAGAGACGTGAGGAGAGGGCTTTCGCAAGGAGAAGAAAAAGAAGAAGGTTGGATTAGGGTTCACAATCAGGGAGGGGGTTCGCGATGGGGTGGGCGATAGCTATGGTGGCTAGTAGTGACAAAGGAGGAGGTTGGGTTAGGGTTTTGCAGGTGAAGAAGAAGAAGAAGAGACAGAAGGGGTGGTTAGAGTGGCAACTGGCAGGGAAGGGGACTACTGGAGAAAACAGAGAAGGGGAGGAGTGGAAGACGGGTAAAGTTGGGAATATGGTGGGGATGAAAAAGAAAAATAGGTATAATGTAATTTTGGATGGTGTGGGACCAAAGAAATGGGGGGTTCAAAGAAAAAAGGTAGAAACATTTAGTAGCCCTAAAAATAGAAAACAAGTGAGGATGTGTAGTAGATTTTAGGTGGTTCCCAAACTTAGCCTAGGTTAGAGTCTCCTGTTCTTCCATTTTTTGTGTCTTTTCTTATGTCTGCCTTCCGTAAAAGAAAAATGATTGATCCACCGAATTTGAGCTCCCCCGAATTACCCAAATTACATAAGTTGAACACCTGGTTAGATGACCGCTCGGACAACCAGCGAGATGACCGCCCGAACGACCGGTGTCACTCTTGTCAATTGCGACTGTCACCCTTGTCTACTAATGTGTCAACCGGCATCCTACCAGACCAGCGGGACAACCGCTCGGATGGCCAACAAAACGATCAGCATGCACAAATTCGGACAATTCAGGTGAGCCCAAATTCGGTGGATGTAGCAATGCTCTAAAAACCTCCAACTAATTACTTTTCTCATTGTAGAAATAAACCGTAAACTAAAGATAATTTATCAAATTTTAATAGAAATAACAAGAAACCCTAGCTTTAAACAAAACGAATCAAATCAAGTCAAGTTAAATCACACAAGTTCAAGTATGAGAGAGAGAGAGAGAGAGAGTACCTGGGGAGCTTGAATGGCGGATAGGAGGTTTTGGATGAGCTGAGAAGGAGGAGAGTTGTGAGAATTTAGGGGTTGATTTTCAAGGTTGAAATGCCTCTGTTTTGGGGAACCCATCTGCGAACACAAAACAGGCATATACATATACATGAATATATAAATCATGAAGACGGAAACCCATTTTTGATCTCTTCAGACTTCGATCGGTTTGAATTTCAAGTTTCCATTGTGATTTAGGGTTTAGGGTTTTGACAATGAGTTCTTGCTTTTGGCCAATGCAAAACAAAGGGTGAATCAAGAGCAGAGATGTACAAGCAACAATTCAGACTTGCATTTTTCTTTGGCACTGATTTATAGGTCAATTTATTTTTTAAATTAATAATTTAAACAATATTTTTCATTTATTGTATATCAAAAAAAAAAAAAAAGTCTTACAAAGCAAAAAAAATAAAACCTAAAACTTAAAAAATATTTTATTATATTCCAAGCGAAAGCTCACATAATCAAAAATTTAAAAAAAACAGAAATAAGTTTCAAATAAGTGCTACACAAATATGGATTCATCTTTAAAATGCGTCACTCAAAAGGGTGTATACACAAAAAAAAACATAAATAATAAGTGCTAGGATCAAAGTCCAGCAACAAGAAATAGGTCTAAGGTAAGGGGGAAAAAAATAAAAGACATAAAAGTAAACAGAGCACAGAAGTGACTAACCTCAGCTTTAATTTTTGCCTCTAACAGTACATCAGGAATTGATTGTGTCGTGTTTCCACTCTGTATTGGACTGTCTGATATTTGCTCAGGGAGACCATCCATAATTTTTTTTTTGGGTGTAGTTTGCACCTGCTGCATCTGCTTCTTCTTTGGTGTAGAATTTGCATGTCGCTTCAACTGTCTAGGCATCTTCATATCTTCCAAATAACATATTACATATCAAATTTATTCAGTCGACAATGGGAGTAGGGAAGTGTAGCACCTAGCAATAAATTAAATATCGAACTCAAAACATGATGAAGATGAACACAAAAATGCCTCACAAAAGGATTTACTTCCCAAGTTGCGGATTGACCTCAAAGGGATTTGAACTTTTCAAGAAAGGTGCCTATAAACATTCTTATAAATATGTACTGATCAAAAAGATTCCATTTGAAGATGTGATTCGAGGTGCAATTGCTTCTTTGGGCGTACCTCTTTCTCTACTAGGTTGTTTTAGTGGCAAAAAATCTCCATATGCAAAGTAGCTCATTTTGCCAACGAAGTTTTAGAAGGAAAGTTATTGTCTGCCTTAAGTTATCCTAATTTACCTCCTTTTAGAACTAAGGGATCTCAGTCCATCTGGACATCAAGGCTCTTTGGCTTTAACCATGGTGACAAATTCAAAATCCTAGAATTCACCGTACTGGGATAATTTAGAATCAAATAATCAAGACATAAAAAAGGAGCAACCCAATGCATCAGGCTCCTGCTAAAGTTGGGTATGGAAGGGTAAGATGTACACAGCCTTACCACCATTTCCGGGCTTCTGAGAGGCTGTTTACTCAAACCTGTGCCACTAAGACGTTAAAACCAAGCCTTTATCATTGGGCCAATCCGCCCTTTCATGAAATAATCAATGCATAAAGAAAATGAAAGGAAAATCCAAGAACATAGTTGTTAAAATCCACCTACTCTCCACCTACTCTCCACCTACTTCACCCACTTAAACCTACTCCACTAAACCTAACCCACTACACCACTACCACCTCACCTACTCCACTAAACCTAACCCACTACACCACTACCACCTCACCTACTCCACTAAACCTAACCCACTACACCACTACCACCTCCACTTCACCTACTCCTTACCTACTACACACTCACCCTCTTCTATATATAGGAATCATGAATCATTGTAATATAGATCAATATATATCAATCAATAATACAATTCTCTCTATTTCTCTATACATAATTAATTCTCTCTATTCCTCTTTATACATTAAATTTCTACAATAGTTGAGAAGAAGATATGAAGCATAGCATTGCCATCTCAGAAAATTCTATACATAATTTGGAGATGGGACTTTTCTTCCAACCGGGAATAGGCCCTCATAATTGCCTTCCCAGGTGTTCTGGATATCCATCCTCAATATGGTTCTACATATCCCTTCATCTGGATATTAAGGATCTGCACATTTCTCTGCGATTATCCCAAGGTTGCATAAATTTTATCCAGCCTTATCACAGATCTATCAAACGGCTATGGTTATTACACTGCCAACAATGGACCAGATTAAGAAAATTGTTCACTGTTTGATTTTTCCACCACACAGAAGATATAAGGGGCATCAAAATGTAAATTCTCTAAAAACTTCCATGTAGTGGCAAATGCCAGTTTTAGGTGGTGTTTTCAAGTAGATTGCTTTCTGCAATGTATACTAATTTGGAATTTAAACCTTGGGAGTTTTATGTAGAGTTCATTTTGAAGCCACTGTACTTTTTAGCATTCAGATGCACTTAATATTATTATAAATTTCTCTCTGATATTTCCCCAAATCTCCTTGTTGATTTAAAGATGAATTCATCTAAGTTGAAGGAGGTGCTTTCTTCCTTTCATGCTTATCTCCATTCAAATTGGAGAACAATATAGGACTGAGCATGGATCGATCTAACCTTGAATTATCAAATTTTGGCCGCTGCTAATTCCTAAATGTGGTTGCAAGTCAATAGCATGCATGGTTTGCTCTGTCAGAGGTCTGTCATTCAGCCCAAGCCAGGTTTACATTGATGGCTCCCACCTACCCACCCCCCACCACCACCATTTTAATGATTACCCCCAACAAATTTTGAGTAAAGACTCATTTCCGTGGATGCATGCATCAGGTAAGCCCATAAAGAGTTGAATGCAAATAGTCCTGCTACTGAGATTTTCCTCAACAAACTTGCGGGCCTGTCTGGCTTTGAATAAGCCTTACACTCTAAGGCCAAAAACAATTGCAGTGTTATTGTACATTTTACAACGATATGGTATTATCTGCCAAAACTAAGCCTGGTGTCTTCCATTACTTAAATCATTTTTCTCTTCAAAATCTTGCAATATCATGATTTAAATTTGATGAGTTAAAGGCTACAAAAAGCTGAATGTGGAGGCATATAACATGAGAAAAGATACGTACTGGCTGGAGATTCTAAAGGAGAACATGGTGAACCAACACAATGTTGCTTTTTTTGTGGATTTTGTACTTCAGAAGCTTTTAAAAATAAATCAGGATTTGCATGAAACCCAAAATATTTGTGGTATTAAACAATTTGCAGGCCTTCTAAGTGCAGTGGTTAAGAGTTCATGACATCCTAACTTGAAAAACGGTGAAAACTTTTCCAGCATGCATGGCGTGCACTTACTCTCAATAGCTGGACAATCTTTGTCATCCACTTTCTTGCTCGGGATCTCTTTGCCATTTACAGCAACCTATATCAAATTAAGACAGAAAAGTGCAACTGTTTTGACATCTAAAATAACAGCACTAAAAATAATATAGAGGACTGAAACTCTGTAAGAGGTAATGGTGAAACAATAAACTTGCATCCAATGAACTTGCTTAGACTAAATTGAAATAATGAAGAAGAAAGACAATTAGTAGTGGCTCAAGGGTAAGGCAATTTAGGCACTCGCCTAGTAGAGGAGGACCTCACTTATTATATCATTACTCTACAGTGTGTACATACATAAAAGAAACCATCAATCAAAACCTTCCTCAACATTTGAAAAAGTAAACAATAGTATTGCATAAATAATTATTGGGGGTGTTTGGGAAGAAAAAAAATAGCCTAGTTTAGGCTAAAAATCACAAAAAGACAAAATAGACTAAAATAGCTAATAAGACAAAATATCACATCAAACCCATAATCATTTCACTTTTTCTCTCATAAACATCACATCCAACCACAAAAAAATCCAATCATCTTCCCAAACACAAAAATTTTAACCTACTAAAATAGCCAAAAACTAAAATAGCCTACTAAAATAACCACTTTCCAAACGAGGCCTATTATCAAAACAAAATACTATTTTGTCAAGCATTTTAGTATGGGGTTTAAGGTTCAGGCCCATCACCCTCTTCTTCACTACAAAAAGTAATTGTCCTTGTTTACTTGGTTATCAAAATTATAACATGTACATTCACTTGATTGTTTATTGTTTTTGTTTTCCACAAAAGTACGAAATCTTAGGGCATCTCCAACGGTATATCAAATATTTCACCAAATCTAAGTAAAAATTTGAGAAATTCCTCTATCTGATATCCAACGCTCCAACGGTGATTTTTTGGCTGTCAGCAAAACGCCGGTCAACCGGCAAGTGTAATCCAAAAAATTTACAACCAGTGAGAGAGAAACTGAGGAACACACCAACCACACCACACAGCTATCAAAGAGTGAAGTAGCACCCAAAGATAGAAGCAGTGAAGAATTACAAAGGTCAGTACAGATTATAGGCACAAAGCACAGCTTACTTCTATGCTGTATTCACTTTATGTGCAACATGTTTGAGAAGAACACTGAAACAAAAAGAGAGTAGCAAAACAAGCAATTAAGTATAAATTGGTTGGATACTGTGAGAATATTATTCTCACAGATACACCCAAAGGTTCTGTATCAGGAAGGTGAACTCTGGCTTGCTTGGATAATTGCCCTTTTAGTATACAACAGCTACTAATGCTCTGTTTTCAATTTCAGAATCAGTTTTCTGATTTTTTTTTTTTTAAATATAAATTGGTTTAACAAAATAAACACCAAAAATATGTTTTTGAAGTTTTAGAAATCATTTTTGCCCTCAAAAAAGGTTAAACCGTATGAAACCCATGAGTTTTTTCTTTTTTTTTTTTTTCCAATTCAATTTTTTCACCAAAATAAGTTTTTTTTCCCCCCCAGGAAACAAATTCTGAAAACCAAAGAGCCTAAACATTTCTACATCTTATAGCCTAACAGCTTATAGCTTATATCTGTGAACATAAGCTGATTTTTGACTTATAAATTAAGCTTCTCCTCCTCCACTTAAAGATTAAAAGTTGATTTTTGACTTACAAAACACTATAAGTTGTATTGTTAAGCTGAACCAAACACATCAAAATAGCTTAAATTAAGCTAAAAGCTTAAATAAGCTGGAAATAAATCCTACCAAATAGGGCAAACAGCTACTTGAAAATAAATTAAAATTTTGACTTGGCGATTACCAAAATATGAAAAATCTAAAATTTTTGTTAGGTTTCATCTCACTCGGTTGGGTTTCATCTTTCTTTGTGGTCTGTCTTTTATCAACTCCACATTGGTAGGAGTTTCGTGGTTTTGTTCCTTGGGCAAGAGGATGGTTCCTGAAGTTGCTCATTTCTCTGAGTTGGGAGAGTTTGATTAATGGTAATATCTCTATCAATGACTATTTCAACACATTGATAGGTGGGTTCAAATATTGTATATGGAGCTTCTTTGATTTCTTCCACTTCGTCTATATGAGTCTTTCCCACAGTTAGGCTTGGCCCAATCATGAATTTCTTCAACACCATAAACTTAGGACTCAGACATTGCTTCTGAAGTTTTGGATTCTTCAACTTGGAACTTCATTTGCATCTATTTTTCTATAGTTGCACTCATGTCATAGTGTTCAATTGTTGGAAGCTTTGACAACATGCCAGTGGCTTCTATAAGCTTGATCTTGTCAACTTCTGTTTCATCTTCCTTTGTGCTCTCATCTTGTAACTCAATCTCTTTCCTAAACTCTAGAATCAAAGTAAATAGCAAATACCCTTTTCTCTTATTCGTTGTTCTGTCTCTAGAAGGGAAAAAAAACCATTTTCGATTTTCCCCAACTAGTTTTTATATCCTTTTCTCTCTCCTCTGTTTTACTCTGTTCTCTGAAACACAAACCTTGCTCTTGGGTTATCCCCTTTCTTTCATTGCAGTCTTCAACTGGGTTGAACTTGAATTTGATTGACCTGAATTTTTTGACTAAGTGGATGATCAGGTGGACATCCGGCCGGACGTCCGACCGGTCGTCCAGTGGGTCCAACACTCAACGACTACGTACAGTAAATTGCTGAAAAATGCAAAACATCCTTAGTTTGGTGAAAGATTTGGGATGTTCTCAATTTGATACAGCTTTGATAAAACTATTGGAGACCAAAAAGTGTACTTTTTCACCAAATTCAAATTTGGTGATGGATTTGGTTAAACGTTGGAGATGGCCTTACATGATTTAATTTGGTAATTATCAAAATTGTTTTGATTGCGAAGTTAGATATATTCGATGATTGTCAATCAAAAAATTAAAATTACAACAAATAATATTGTTTTGATTGTGAATGTTATGAATTTTCAATAAAAATTATTCAAATCCTCGATTAGATTTTCCGCCTTGATAGACTGCAAAATAACTTACAACCATAACCTGTTCTTTAAAGAAGCATAATCAAGATTAAGAGTTTTTTGTTGTTCACTCACACCCACTATCCAAAGGCAACAAGTTTTCTTGTTTGTTTGATGATTTGATCAAACTCAGTGACTATTCCATTACCTGGATTAATTAAGTTGTTAATGTACATCCTATAAAATTTCGATATGTTCAAGCTTGTTTACTTTCCATCCAGCCAACTAAGCATGAAATTAGTACAAATGCAAGCATAATTTTTTCAATGTCTTGACTGTATCAGCACCCTATCGAAATTGAGAAAGCAATTCAATCAAAAAATAAATAAACAAATAACACAAAACCAAGCCGAAATTGAGAAACTCACCTTCTTAGGAGCTCCGGACTTTCGCTGTCTCTTCTTCTTGCCTTGACTCGCGCAATACTCTTCTTCTTCGTTGGGCTTTTGATCGCCATCTTTGTCCTCTTTCTCTGTTGCATTGTCTTGCGACCTATGCGGGAACAGTGTCGAGTGGACCAATCTCCGGCTGACGGGTTGCTGTAGATCACCGACTCCGGCGACCTCCGCGGCCGAGTTGTGCATTGGATCAGCTTAATTAGGGCTGGTTTTCAAATTAGGGTTTTGTTTAGGGACACTATTTTGGGGTTTGAGAGCAGAAGCAATCTAGAGAGAGAAAGTATGGAGAGAGAGAGAGAGAGAGAGAGATTGGGGATGGCGGGAGGGCTGATTTCCCTGACTATACCATTTTCAAAATGAATTTGGCTAGAGAGCTCTAATTAGAGCTGCTCAAAAACAGCTCTAATTAGCTGTCACCATTAAAAAATAAATAAAATAAAATAAAGAAAGGTAAAATACAAAACAAGAGAAAAAAAATGACAAATTAATGCCCTTTAAAGCTCCAATTTTAAACGTCTCACTCATTTTTGTTAATCAAAAAGACACCGCTAAAGTGGACTAAAATTTTGAAAGATTAATGCTTCGGACCTCCATTGGGGGTTGACCCCCAGTGAGGTGGCAGGTGGTGATTGGGTAAAAAAAAAAACTATTTTATTTTATTTTTTTTTTTTAGAGTTTTGACCAGTGGAGGCACGTCACCTCACTCGGGGTGCGACCCCCACTGAGGGTCTATAGCGGAGCTCTATTATCTTTTATTGCCAGAATAGGGTGAATGCTGTTTTTTAAAAAACAACTTTCGAAAAACCGTGTCTTATAATTAAAATAATAACAAAATTTGAACATAAAAAAACCACTTTAGAAAAGTCAGTTTTAATTAAGTTTTTAATTAATTTTAAATTAATTAAAAATGATTTTGATAAAATCGATTTTACATTAATTTTTAATTTTTTTAATTTATATTTTTAACTTAAATATTTTTTGACTAAAAATATTTTTAATAAAAAATGGTGTTAGAAAAGTCGTTTTAGAAAACGATTTTGGTAAAGCCGGTTTTACATTAATTTTTATTTATTTTTATTTATATTTTCAACTTAAATATTTTTTGACCAAAAATATTTTTAATAAAAGACGGTGTTAGAAAAGTTGTTTTAGAAAACGGTTTTGGTAAAACCGGTTTTACATTAATTTTTAAATTTTTTTAATTTATATTTTTAACTTAAATATTTTTTACCAAAAATATTTTTAATAAAAAACGGTTTTAGAAAAGTCGTTTTTACATTAATCTTTTTTAATTTATATTTTCAACATAAATATTTTTTGACCAAAAATATTTTTAATAAAAAATGGTTTTAGAAATTTTTTTTTTTAATTATTTTTTCTCATGTGGAAAGGTTGGACTTGGGAATCAAAAGATAAGTAAGAGAGCAGCAATTTCAATGCATTCAAAGATGAGTTTCTTTAGAAAATTACAGCACAAATAAAAATAAAAATTAAAACGTAATGCTTGCTTTGAGTTTTCTAAAACATTTTTTAGATAATTCTATTTTTTTATTTTTCGTATTTTTTTGTTTTTGTTGAATTTTTTAATATTTTAAGTTTTTAAACATACCTAGCATAAATACACTAAATACCAAAAATACAAACAAACAAAAAAAAACGAAAATTCAGTACATTTTTCATATTTTTGTGTATTTATTAATTTTTGAAAATATTTTTTTACAAATATTTTACTTTTTAAACACATCTAAGTAAAATGCATCTAAAAAAGTAAAAAAAAAATGCTTAAAATTTTAAAAATATTCACTAAAAACAAAAAACTCAGTTTTCAAAAAACTTAATTCAGAAAACTGAAACCTAGGGCTTGTTTGGTTTGTATCTCAAGATATAATTTTTGAGAAATTTTTTTAAAATTTTTTGTAGTTCAAATTTTTTGAAAAAAAAAATTCCAAAACCACTTTTCAAAAATTTCCAAAATTTCAAAGTGTTTACAAAACCCACCCTAGAGTGGGAATAAATATTTTATGTTTTAAATATTTATTTATTTTTTTAATGTGCACTATATTTCGGAAGTGTTTACAAAACCCACCCTAGAGTGGGAATAAATATTTTATGTTTTAAATATTTATTTATTTTTTTAATGTGCACTATATTTCGGGGCTTTTCCCATATTAAGCCAATTTATCATCTTAATTCTCAAACTAGGCCTAGTTTGAACGGAATTCCCAAACTAGGCTAAAGCGCAATTACAAAACACGTTTTCACTATTTGGGCCGAAAATTTGATGAACATTGAAAGCGCTATTAGAAATCACGCTTTTAATTAAGAAAACCACGCTTTTAACATAATTTTTTTTTTAAATTAAGAAAGCGTTATTGGTAGTGTAGTTTTTTGTAAGAATGAGAACGTTATTTGTTATATTCAATGAATAATTGTTACATTATTGGGTTCTCACGATTGAGAAGATGAACAAGTTAAGAGAATGTGTATTTTTCCTAAAATAAATTTTGTCAACATTTTTGTAATAAAACTTAATACATAATATAAGAAGTCACTAATTTACTAAATACTCATACAGGCATGAAAACAACATAACTGAAGTTGCAAATGTAACAGTTTTCAGTTACATAGGTAGTACAGACATAAGTCTCCCACAAAAATACATTCTGGACACCATGAACTGAACACACAATACATACATCCTAGACACCCTGAACTGAACACACAATACATAAACATAACAGTTACATAGACAAATATTAGGCAGACAATCTGACAAACTCATTACGAAAACACTTAGTCTAACACAGACATTACATATTAATGCAAGTTGTTATATTGCCAAAGTGTAGACATTAACACCTAATTCGGGCTTAAATCGACAGATGGCTCAGAGTCTGAATAATCCGAAAGCTCAGCGTCAGAGACAAGTTCAGGATCTTCCATGATACTCTTGATAGCCGTAACATTTGGTTCTGTTCTGTTCTTCTGGGCATCCTTCTTAACTATGTGTAGCTGCATATCGCGGGCTAACCTATGCCGCATTTGAGAAATCTCACGTTGTCGTCTTTCAGATAGTCGATCAACATTACCAGGATCTTCCTTTTGGATCTCAACAGAACGTGCTTTTGGCACCTTCAGTCGATTTTCCCGACATAATCTTTCCATTTGCACTCGCTCTATAAATAGTGCGAGCCACTTCAGAAGTCTAGCGTTTGCTAAACCATATCCTGTTTGATTATCTGATGGATCCTCCACCAAACCACATGAATCTCGATAGTACTTGGGCATGACAAAATGTCGCTTCCCAAACCTATCATGATAAGCACAAGAGGCATCTAACAAAGTAAATGGTGTTTCATCTTCAGCATCGCCATTTCCCCTTTCCCCTCCTCGTCGTGAATTGTCACCCCTTTGCAAGTTCCTACCACCTCTGCGATTCCCACTCCCTCCCATGAACCATGTAGCCATGCTAATTTTTTAAAACAAATGAATGATAATTTCGTAGGGCGAAATGAGTTGTAAGGTTGTGTCTTCACCTTTAGTCGTTTATATAGTTGGTTATGAACGGTTTTAGAAAGATGCCTCTGCATGACAATCCCACATATATGAACAAGGTATGAGTTGTCACTAAAATGAAAAAACAGAGTAAAGCAAATACTGTGTACCAAGTCATGTGACTTGACAATCCATCTGCATATACCGACAAAATGAGGGCATGCTCACTGTAAGGTAAATCAGTGAATTCACTGTTGCCATGTGACTTTCTGAATTGAGAATCCCACATATATCAATAAGAGATAAGTTGTCACTGTAATAAAAAATCGATCAAAAAATCGAGAAAAACAAAGCCTGTGCACCAAGTCACGTGACTTGACAATCCATCTGCATATACGGACAAAATAAGGGCACGCTCACTGTAAGGTAAATCAGTGAACTTGACAATCCATCTGCATATACGGACAAAATAAGGGTATGCTCACTGTAAGGTAAATCAGTGAATTCACTGTTGCCATGTGACTTTCTGAATTGTCACTGTAATAAAAAATGAAGCTTATGTAGGCAATGTTGTGTTTCACTTAGCTATGCATCATTCGTTGTAACGACCAACTATTTGTATTTCATTGAAAAATATGACTATTTGAATTTTTGTTGTCATTTGGAATTATTTTAAAATCAACTTTTGAATATTCAATTTGTAATATTTTGGGAAACATTTACAATCTCAACTTTTGAAATAAACTTTAAAATAATGGTGGATCTTGTGAGTGAAACGTGGGTTAGGTAAGAGTACTTGGCCACCAATGTTTGTGAATATCATGGTGCATTCAAATTTGTCCAGAAAATTGGTGCATTCAAATCTGTCCAGAAAACTTATGTTACATAGTAATTTCGGAAGTGTTGTTCTCTTTGGGTATAAATCCGAAAAATATGAAATCAGCGTCATTAGAACTGGTTATAAGTCTAGTTTTTTACATTTTTGCCCTTGCGTTGATTGCTATTCTATACTAAGAGAATCGTCAATTTCTTCAAAAAGTTGTAGAAAACAATATGTTTGGGTATAATTAATTGTAAATAGTGATTTTGACAAGCAAATCAAGTAAAACCAATTGGGTTTTAAACTTAGTCCCCCAGCTGGACCAACCACTTGGCTTTGACCTTGTCTATGTGGGAGCTCTAAGACATTACTTAAGGTCTCATTATCATTGATTAGCAGCAACCTATACTTTCCCCGACATGGGAGTTTACATTTAAACTCTAATCACATTATTTCCCCATGCGTACCAACCTTCGGCACCATCATAGCCTCCAACTCGGCCAATGTTATGCCCCTGTGCACATTATACAACCCCTGAGGTTCGATGTCGTACGACACACCTTCATCGCGATTGCGCAAAATCTTTCCACCGTAATAGAACATAATACTCACAACTTCCATACCTACACTTTGCATTCAAAGTAACTCAATTATTTCAAAATAACAAAGTAAGCACATTTGAGAGCAAACACCACATATATTACACAGGAGTGCCTTTACGCATGGGTCTTTTGGTATTACAAAATATTTAAGTGGCATATCGACATGAACATGGAAATGAAAGTTATTTGCTCCATATATAATAGCATCCTACATGACTTATATTTCTTGTATTATTTAGAAGAATTATCTATTTGTACATTTAAACAAAAAACCATGTGTGGGATCATTTCTCCAATTATCATGAATTAACATTTGAATTCTTTTGTTGTGATTTGTCATGATTTCTTCATCCCTTCTTACGAGCATATGTTTTCCTTTACTCTTTGTTTTATGTTGTTATGCTTTCCCTTTGGTATTATTATTATTATTTTTA